AAACAAAAGTGTTGATCATTTTCAAAAGAAGTAAACAGCTGTAAACGGGTTGAATCAAAGTGAAATAAAATTGCATTACACCTCTGGCTTTTTTCCCCAAAATGTGGTGAGGATAATAAACAAAGCTTCTATATTTTACATAGGATAATCATTGTGATGGAAAAGGCCTCATAAGTTTTAGCCCCATGACCCACCAAGGTTTGATCTCTGCATCATCCATAAAATATAATAGAAAAATCAAGAGAGCCAGTCTTCCTCTTCTTAATGTGAGAAAGCAATATTCTCCAAAGATTATGAGTTCTATTTGTCAAGGAATATATACAGTAGAATGACAATACACAAATGCTGAAACTTCGAAATATATTATGCCAAGTCCTTAGTTCAATTGCTGGTTGGGTTCCCTCCTTGTAAACTAAGATTATTGACAATAATGTCAGTTTACTTAGGGTACGGCCCGGCAGCCAAAATATATCAAGGTTTTTAATGTATTTGTGCCCGGAACTTGCCCAGTGGGCAAGTAGAGTTGAGTAAATTTCCAAAATAACATTATTTGGGCAAGTAAAAAAACAGCAAATTTCTGTCAGCCAGCGGCAAGCAAATCCTCAAAACAATCTTTCCAGCCTGTGGGTACCAAGAGCTATAGTATGGTAAGAAACAACTTGCAAGAGTTAAGTTGAGAAAATTAAAAAATTAATATCCATGGGTTTTACACGAAATCAAAATACCATCTAAATTATCGTTTTAGGTTTTGCATACGTTAAATTTGCAAATGAAGTCGAAAATTAAAAATATTTTTTATGTTTGCATATGTATGCTAGACATGTAAGATACACATTTGGCAACATCAGCACAATCTGGCAACTATGTAGACTGCACTCCACAGTCACCATAACCAGCCCCTTTGTGTTTTAAATCACCCAGGATATAACGCTGATCTTCATTTACCATGCATATTCTTACAGCTTGTGCTGAATTCTCGTGTAACACAGTGATTTCATTTATTCCTACATGTTGTAAGAATTTTGAAACATACCTTGTTGTTGCTGGTGAGGGTGGAGGGGTGAGAAACATAAAAAATGCAAGTACATTGCAACATGTGTTATAGTGTGGTGCCTCCTGATGCCTCTCCCTAGCAAAAATAAATTTTTTTCAATACTTTTTTCTATAAAGATTCTCTACTAAATATGTACATTTTATAATGGAATAAGGTTCATATTGTCATCACATGAAATAACAAGGTATAAAGGGATTTAAAAACATTTTCATTAAGTGCAAACAAAAAGTTTGTGTTCTAATCTCACTTAGTATAGAAAAAATTATCCGGTGACCTAAGAGTGTTAATGCAAATTACAAAAATCAGATAAGTTAGCACAGGGTATGGAATGTAATATACTAAACCTCTATCAGCAATGAAGACAAGAATGAAGCAAGATACTTCACTCTTCATATAATCCATTACATGCAACAAACCCTAGGTATAAATTTATCTCCAAGGAAAGTTAAATAGAGGTTTTACTACATTATTACAATATTGTCCAAGATTATTACTCACTTAACTTTGTCCATATTGTAGGTTATTCCAGAAGATATGCCTGCAATATCTCATCTGATAGCTTGTTGAGGATGCTGCAGGATGTATGGAATGAGACGCAAGGCACCATAGGCACATTCATACATATTGAAAACAATAGTTTTAGATACTGTATATTGTACTGTTTCAATGTATTATTTAAACATTCTAAAATACATTCTTAGATACATTAATGTACCTCTTTGTATCCTATCACCATTATTACAGTATTTACCTAGTGTATAAAAGGCTTTCAACTACAGTACAGGCATAAGAGTGAATGTAATCTTGCTGGTAATAAAAGGAGATTACAAGTTTTAGCTGAGGTTTGAGATCAGATGTCAATAAGGCATTAGACTTGGAGAAAGTTAAGGCAGCTAGACTTATGAGTACAGCATAAAAGTGACTACCCATGTACTTAAGTTAACTTAGTAAACAATTATGGGGGAAGATAGTTCAGAAAGATGCCCCCCCCCACACCTTTCTGATGTAGTATACAACATTTCATCAACAGGTCTTCCAGTTCCCTTTCTCTTTAGCCTTTAAATGGTGGCCATCACTGGTGGAAGTTAGGTATATGTATGGTGGCTATCAATGTGAAAGTTTCATGTTCTTGTGTTCATTTTTTGTGTATGTGGAACCTTACCACTCAATTAAGGGCTAACTGTATCATATATGTCCACACCACCCTAACAAACTATGGTACAAATTCTGTCTGTCTCCTATTTCACTTCCATATTTCTTAATTTCTGTATTTCTTGTCCACAGCAATTATATTTACCCCACATTTTTCCATACACCAGGTCATTTTAACTGTTACTTTTTTGGGGGCATTTGGAGTCTAAAATTCATATCTATAATGTTGGCTCAATACTTCCCTATGGATCCTCATCTTTACCAACTAGCTAATGGTCAGACACTCCACACCTGGTCCATCTCACAACTTAAAATTCGGTCTTGACATAATAACACCTCATTATCTCCTCCACTACCCCATTACTCCTTGGCACATATATCTCAAATTGGCATCTATACCCCACAACACTGCACAATAAAGGTCATAACAAAGAAGAGACTAACTACTACAATGGTGAAAAGATAGATAAATAAATAAATATTCCTATAGGTGGATCTTAACCTATCATTATTACTTTATCTCTAACAATGAGACTTTCCTTGTTGATTCCAATTTTCCAAACCCTCTCTCTTTCCTTCTCACTCTCTAAAAATACTCTACATCTTTTATATCCCAACCTTAAGTTGACCCCATAGTAGTCTGGAAATGACCCCCCCCTAATAGTCCATCCAGCAACTCCACATTCCAACACTACACCATACACTTTTACCCTCTCAGATACTCTGGTCTAACTTCCCACACACATGTTCCTTGTTAATTTTTGTTTTCAAAGGTTTAGGAACAGTTTGGAAGGATTTTTGCTCACCAAAATTACAAAAGGCCTATCCATATAAGAGGTGAGAGCTCTCTAGCTACTGTATGTCCAGAACTCAAAAACAGATGAGACTTTTCAGAATGTTTACCTTGCACCGGTAGGTGAGCCAACCTTCATGGCTTCCTCGAGCCACTCCGAGGCCAGCTCTAGGACATCATCGGCACGATTCCAATTACAGAGAGCATTGACGTATGGACCATATGTATCCTCATTTTCCTGAAACACATCAACATGTTGTTTACATAAATGCTAAACCATTCAAAAATATTATGGTCTGTAAAATTTGTAATATTTATGGTCCAGGGTTGATGAGGAGCAATGTGTACTTGAGCAGCCCTTAAAGAGCCTTTCTTACCCTCACTTTAAAAATAAAATTTCACTTGAAGTTTGTGTACAGTATTTAACTTTTAATTAATGGAGGAGTCAATAAATGTTCTTGTATGATAATATGATTAATAAAAAATGGGTAGAAAAAGATGAGGGCAGGATAACTGTATATAACCAAGACAATAAACAATAAAAATAACAGTAAAGGTACAGAATTATGGTTTTCATCAAGGCTGTGGAGGAAACTTATAGTATTATCCTGCAAGGCAGGGAAACAACATCTTAAAATAATTGTACTAATATGAGTTACAAGTGGTTGTTACACCAACCACTCCTGACCTGATCTTGCTGCAGTGCTCAAGCTACGTGACAGACAGTGGCCGACCAGAGTGGGCACCAGGGCTCTGGGCAGGAAACTTGACAGATAAAGTAATGTCGTATACATCTCTTCCTAGCAAATAAAAATAAGAAATTATGTAAAACAAACTCACACCATGCTGAGAGAAGTGTACACAATATACTATACAGAGTTACTACTTGTATATCCAGGTACAGTATTTAACAATCTAATTATAAAAAAAAAAAAAAAAAAAAAAACAGGAGTTCAAATAAAGCAAATAAAAATCTCAACAATAATCCGTCGATAGTCAAACCCACGATAAAAAAACCGTCGATAAAGAGAGTACTGTATATATATAATATATATATATATATATATATATATATATATATATATATATATATATATATATATATATATATATATATATATATATATATATATATATATATATATATATATATATATATATATATATATATATATATATATATATATATATATATATATATATATATATATATATATATATATATATACTTTTATATAAAATAAATCAAAATGCTACAGTAAAAAGTAAACAAGAAACATACTTTTATCTTACTGTGACAATTGTGTATTTACTTTTATTACAGGATTATTAAACCACAATGTCTCCATAACACACCAAACCTTCCCCTGCATGAAGCCCTAATACCATTACCATTTTAAAGACATTTTCCACACTAATATAGGTAAGCCATGATAGCATAATGGGAGTTCTCCCTCCTGCATGATCTCTTACAGCCTCTCTCATCAGGTTCTTATATCTGAGATCAGTGCTTACACCCTCTCCTCATATTATTCTTTGGGGTACCTCTAGCTCCCCTGTCCTCTCTATTTAAACCCATCCATCTCATGACTGTTGATCTCCAAACTTCTCTCTACATAACCAAACCATCTCAGCCTACCTCTATACTAATACTCTCATTACCCAGCTGCCCTCTTAGCTTTCAGTGTCACATTACATACTGTACATCTCACTGTACACCTTTCAGTCGGGTAATTCTGGTGTTAGTTGTCTGATTACCTATATTTTGGATTTTGTCATAATCTAGCAGCCATCATCAGATAAAGTTAAGCCCTTGGAACGGCAGCCATTATCAGTGGACGTTTCATATGCCTTGTGTTCTTATTTTGTACATATGGGGATGGAGTAGGTAATATTTAGCCACCATTTAAGGGTTAAGTTCTAAAGGATTCTATCAGTAGGAATATTAACTGAATCATAAACTATTCATTATGCCTCCAACACTAGACTTATTTCATTACCTTAAAGAACTTGAAGAAGAGGCATACTTCTTGATAATCTTGTTCTTAATGCCTCTAGATACTTTAGATTTTGTGAAAGTACAAGTTTATGGGCATTTGAGGTCCATAAAATGACTACTGTGTCCAAGAGTCCAATAATGATGTCTGGGTTGTCTAGAGGAGAGCCGTCACCACCATCGTCCTCATCAACTGCCTCACCACCATCACTGCTGCTAACTGCACCTATAACAATTATTACTCAATATACAAAGAAAAGGAGTAAAATACTCATACCAAGATGGACAACAGATCTATGTGATGTTTTTATATTTTCAACAATACTGTGTTATGTTTTACAATTTATCTAATCAAATGATCAAGACAATATTCAGATAGAGCTATCGTGATTTCAGGAAATCCTTAAATTTATGTAAGAATAAGTGTACTTTCTTTTTTTTTTTTGAAATTTGCTACATCATCTCCTGACTGGGAAAAGTAAAAATAAAAAATCCTACTTTTTCCAGTTATCCAAATAGTGAGACATACATTATCCTTACCTTTCTCTTGGTTGAATACATTACTGTACTTAATTATTTATATTTCAACATTCTCTATACAGTACAGTAGTACACAAATACTGTACACTAATGTTACTTTTCCATTCTTAACTTTCCCACAGTTGAATACATTACCACTTTTCTTACTTATGAACATTGCTCATAATTTTGACATAAAGATCAACTATACTTCCACTGTATTACTTCACCCTTATTAACCTTCCCTACTCTTACCTTTTCGGCTCACTCTCCTTCACAGTCGTGGATGCTCGGCTCCTCTGTGCCCCGGAACATAACTACGCATGTTAGTAACAACTCGACTTTCATTTTTTTTAAAACCACTCCATCCAATGCAATTGTTGCCCAGAGCAAATCTACATTCATTCAAAGGCAAGTTGTTAATTGTGCCAAGCTGCTAAAAATAAGAATTCACATTGTGTAAAGATTATGGAAGACATGAACAGTGTAGTTCCTTAAATAATTTATAATCAATTACCATCTTATATCACAAAAAAATTTAGGCTTAAAACTTATAAATATGGAAGTACTATTGGTTATGAATACAGTCATCATTTATCTTAAGTCAAAGAGGGGAGGGTGACTGTGACTTGATCTCCTTGACACAGCAAGTAGAGATGGAAGAAATCCCATCCATGACTTTGAGCCAGAACGTATGTAAATAAGCCCTCAAACTGGCCAAAAAAATTACACTAAGGAATTAACATAACTGGGAATGCAGACTGATTCTTCCTTAAGTAGCAAACTTTATGAAGTTAAACGATACAAATGTACCAACTCCATGGCTCAGTCTCATGCAAACACTAAAACAGAAAATGGAAATGTCTCAAGTACTGAAAGTGATTCCACAAATCTGGATGCCTATTAGGAACAGTGTGGATAGAGCACACTACACAAGGAGGCAGTGTGGTCACTATACTAAGAACCCTTTTATAGTTGGCTGGACTGAGAGTAGTGTCCTGGGATGAATCCAGTGACCCTTAAAAACAGGAGGCAAACACTGAACCCACTTGGCCACCACACCCCTTAGTGAATGTACCAAAGAACGCCACCAAAAATTTGACCTAACAGAGCACGCATACACGCATTGAGAGGTGTAGCATACATTTAGTTTATGTTAAAGCTGTGGTAGTTACGTTCACAAGGTTTCGTTTATCAGAGTCATACATGTATTGATTATTATTTTTTATACACAGGGTACAGAAATTTGCTCGGAAGTTCATTAAATACACAGCTGCCACATATTACCAGCCAGACACACAAGTCAATTTTCCTCCTTTATCCAAACATAAAATTGTTTAAATCATTTGTCTAAAAAAAACAATTACTCATGCTAAATTAATAAGTCTGGTCATAATAAATAAGACAATTTTGTTATTTTGCTTCCCATTACTATTATTACAAAATGAACTGAATTAAAGTTAACTGATCATAAACAATAAGTAAGAATGACATATGACAAAATCTAGGTTGTGAATCTGCATTAAATTCTGTTGTATAAATCACTGTATCTCAAGCTTTTAACCCAAGGAGACAAACAGTGACCACATACAGTGGGGTATGCTATATGACGGATCCTACTCTTGAATATTCCAATAACGAACGGTTTTACCTATAAAATTGAGAATGCTATAACGAGCATAACTCCTACAATGACGCGGATGAATACGGGACTATTTCGCCTGGCGCATGAATATTGTTGTACACGACCCACAGCCAGGCGTCAGGCGCCATCTTTCTCATTGTGTAGCCAGTGCACCACTGTTATTGTTGAAATTTCGTCTTTTGATGTGAATTGCGTTATTTGTATAACTATTTTGTTATACAAGTATACAATTGTAAAATGAGTCGTCCCAAAGCGGTAGAAAGCTAATAACCCTTGAAACTAAGAAAAAAATTATAAAAACGTGAGAATGGAAGAAGCATTGCGAAACTTAGTGATGAATATGGGATGGCTAAATCGACTATATATACGATTTTGAAGAATAAGAAGGAGTTAAAAACTGTGCAAGTGGCTAGAATCTTTAGACTTAGCAAAGCAAAGTGTAATGTGATTGAAGAGATGGAAAATTTACTCTTAGTGTGGATAAAGGAGAAAAATGGCAAGTGGTAACATGGTGAAGCTATAATTTGTGAGAAGGCCAGACAATTGTTTGAGGACCTTAAAGCCAAGACTCCCAGTGGAAGTGATAGTGATGTGCCAGTGTTTGGGGTACCTGCATGCTGAATAACACTAAGGTAAGATAAAGTACCGTATTTTTTACATTTTCCACAGAATTTTTTCAGTGTTAAGTGGTTGTATGTGGGGGCCTGGAACGGATTAATCCTATACTGAACGAGGTTCTGGAACCAATTACGTTCGTTATAGCATACCCCACTGTATACCGGGTATGCAAATTAAATCTTACAAAACTATAAAAACATTTTAGTCACAAAAGATGTAATAAGTATTTAGGTAAATGTTAAATATTATATAAAGACATTGATACAAGGTGAAATACTCTTTCATTATTCTCACAGTAGCAGGATTCCAATATGATGGACAACCTTTTTAAATGTTCTAATGATACAATAATATCTGTAATAGTAACACGTTCTCAGTTTAGATGATGTTTTTATATGTTCAGTTCTCATCAATCACAGAAAATAAATATTCTCTTCCCTAAGTTTAATATTTCTGTATTAATATTTATACTTTCAAATAATCATCTACACCTGAGATACAATAATGTGTATTGTAGAGAGCAAAACAACATATGAGGAGCACCAGACCAGACCAGACCATACTCTGCTATATGAGGAGCTCCAGACCAGACCAGACCAGACCATACTCTGCTATATGAGGAGCTCCAGACCAGACCAGACCATACTCTGCTATAGGAGGAGCTACAGACCATACCCTGCTAAAATGGAGGTAAATACTCAGGTAGGAATGTTTGACATACAATAGTCTTTTTTAAAGGCCTCTCACCAACATGCTGGGTTCCCAATTGGCTCTTTGACTCACCCAAGGGACAGAGAAAGGTTGGGGAATACAATGCAACACATAAAACGTTTCAGCAATATATGGCTTTTAGCATGTTATGGTCCGGAGCTCCCATAAAGAGATGAAAGTCAGTTACATTGAGGGTCCGTTAAGTGTGAAAGCCTCCATCTAACAAGCTATATAGAGATGAAAGTCAGTTATATCAAGGGTCCGTTCGGTGTGAAACTCCCCCATCTAACAAAATACTGTATATGGAGAGAGAAGTTCGTTATATGTATGTTTCAATTTACATCTCAAGATCCATAAAAAATTAATCATCTGAAATTTTGGTGCAACTTATAATTACAAATGACTGAGAATGATTAAGATTAAGGCTTTATTTTATTTATGATAAAATGAGTGGTTATTAGTGTGTGAAACTAAGATGTTTAAGAATAGAATCATTTGAATATCTAGTGAGGTAAATTATAGCATCTCTTGAAAATTTCTTCCTGGGAAGTTAAATAGATAAAAAAATAAAAAATTATTGATCCCATCAAGATGTTCAGTACGGCAATGAGACACAACTCTAATATTTGATGTGTCTTGTGTTATGGGATAAACTTGATGGCCTCAGTAAAACTTTAAATTGGAGTTATCACACAGACAATGTGTATGCAGCACATGAGGCATTGCTCTCAACTATCTTCACTTCAACTATAGCTGGGTACCCATTTACAGCTGGGTATGGATTGGGAATGCACAGGATTGAACAACTGAACCTTATAACAGGAGGTGAACATTGCATCCACTCAGTCAGTCACTGCCTCTCATGAACCATGAAAAAAAAATTGTGTGATTGGCGTTTATCTGTCAGACGGAAGATGATTCTATGAGTGAGAAGCACAAGGTATTAACTTGAGATGTATGGTGGAAGTGAGGAACTGCTGGGTGATGAGGTACCGATCATAGTTTATGTAACAGTCACCAGTAGGGCTGTGGAATGTTACTTGTGATATGTGAGAGCAATAATCCATGAGAACAAATATGGTTGTTGTAAGGGATAAGATGAGCAGCTTCGGTACAATAAGGACAAGTACACCAGAGGAAGCTGCGTGTTTTAGATGCTCTCTCTGCAGTGTTAGAAATGTGTGGTCTGAGAATTTAGTTAAAATAATCCTACTAATACTTAAGGTGGCAGCTGCAGATTAGTGTAAGCTATTGTGTGAGTTAGCATCAAAAGTTAGTGTCATGAGGAAAGGAGTGTCTGTGTGTGTGTCTTTGCCACTGGCATGAATGGTGAGTACTGTACAGTAGATCATTGATACAAAGTAAGCAGAGAATAGCAGCAAGAGGTAAGCCTTGAGGTACTCCAACACTGACAGGAAAGTACAGTACAGTAGCCATGATGTATGAATTGTACACAACTGGGAGACCAAAATAAGAAAATTTAGGAATACAATCAGCTGTCACACCTTGTTGGAAGCTTAGGAAATATCATGAGCAGCAAACTAACAGTTGTCAAATTTGTCATGATCTCAAGTAAAGTTTGGAAAAAGGAGACTATAACTAGTCTTACACCACTAACATTCTACAGCAAGTCCTTGTATAACGTCCACCTGCTTAACGTTGTTTCGGTACTAGGTTGCTAATCTTTAGATATCAAAAATTCATTTACGTCCCAAAGACTCGGTAAATCGTTG